ATCGACAAATGTAACCATACTACACCTGAGGCCTATAATTCCTTGCAGAAAGTGCTTAAAAAAATGGTAAATATAAGATTTAAAAAAAACGCCATCCTATACATAAGGTCCATTGTTCCTTGCAGAAAGTGCTCGAAAAAGAAGGTAAAGCTAAGATTGAAAAAATGTAACCATCCTACACCTCAGGTTCCACAGTTCCTTTCAGAATCAACATGACACATGTGTAGATTGTTATTATATTATGGTTGGAGGGTCATAAAGGGGGCTAGATAGGAACCGTGGCAGAAGGGTGTTTAAGTTCGATCATGTAAGTACATAAAGGGGGTTTACCATGGGGACCCCATAAAGGTTCATTTGAAGTCCTTTTGAGGTCCATTTGAGATCTTTATTTGTATTCTATTGTTTTTTCCATAGGTAGGAGGCAAATTTGAAGACCTTCAACATCTAATTTTACATTTATTTGAAGTTCAAGAATTTTCCAGTAATTTGCAAGGAATAATATACCTTCTATACCTGAATGTATTGGAAATGATAAACAAAAGTGTAGAAAAACGTAGAATGTATTGGAAATACCAGGCAATTGGGGACTTACACACTTCCAGTTTGCATTTTTGATTTTCTGCCATTCTGCAGCTATTTGCAGACTTTTTTTCAAAAATGCAATGCACAATATTGAACGCCCCTCTGCGTTTTTTAAGAAAATATATAAATGAAATCCCGTAAAGAATGAGGGGACCTACTAAAATGAAATCTTGCAAATAAGACGCAGTAAAAAAAAAGAAGCTTGCCAACATTTAGCAGGACCACCTCCCTGAAAAACGTCTAAATTGTGTCTTGCAATTTGGGTACGCCCCCCCTCCTTACAAGGGTAGTGATGGTGTCACATGGCCTAACGATCCTGAAATTTGGATGTATTGAACATAACCTCCAATCAAAGCCTAGTAGAATGTATTGGGTTACCTCATGTTTTTTTAGGACTGTTAGGATTGCTATGCATTTAGAGACTAGTTGGTCTTACCATGGAAAAAAGGGTCCCCAAAAATGGAGGATCGGATTTGGCGTCTGCTGGAATCAGAGGTCTTCAAAAGTGGAGATCTCGCGGAGCGCAGGTTGAAAACAAGACTTCTCATGTCAGCTGGTGCCCCTCCATAAGTTGGCTTTAAAAAACCCATGAAGTCTATAGATGTATCATGATATATCTGCCACAAGCCCAAGTGATTGGAGTTTAAAACCCTTTATATAGTGATGTTGTATTTTCAATTTCTTGATCACCAGGTCATGGGCGTAAGTTCCATCTCCCCCCGGTGGTGCTGATTTGGACGAGGATGCGCTTGCAGCATGGCTGAAGTGGTTCAAGCGTTCAAACTGTGCTACTCTTCTCCAGGCCATGGCAAGTTGTTTTTGGTTTCGAATCCATGACCTCTTTACCCTCCGGTGTCATCAAACATGGCAACTGGAAATCCACTATAAATGGAGTGTTTAATGGGAAAATCAACCATAAATTGATGATTTTCCATTGCTATGTTTTGATTACCGGAGGGTACATGCCATGATTGAAGCCTGTCACTCTCCATCCCAAAGGTCGTAAAACTGTGGGTTTTGTTGGAGCCAACCACAGCGTACAAACATGGCATAGCCACATTTTCACTGAGAGATGATATCCATTGATTTCCCACAGTGAAACCTTCGTTTTCAGAGGATTTTACCATTGAACCCTATAGATGATATTCCCATATTTTCCCATGAAAACTTCCATTTCCTCCTGGATTTGTCCACCATTTCTTGGTACATCTTGTGGCCAAGCCTTCCACCGACATGAGCAACTGGTTCACTGACAAGGTCTGGGATCTGGTGGCATGATCGCTGTGGGAATTTTATGGAATCCCCAGTCGTCACCATAGGTTTCAATACAAACATGGTCTAATGTGGTTAAAACAATAATAAACCACCCATTTGGGAATGGTCTATAGCACCTGTTTATGGTGATTTGGGGGATCGTTTATTATTGCTTTAACCACATTAATTTTGATGATTTCGGGGCCCACCCCCCCATTTTAGGAAACCTCCCCAAAAGAAATTTCCCAGAATAGTATATAGACAGATGAAATCCGGCTAGAGCGAAATAATCTAAGATGGTGGTGAATGACTCTGCTAAAGTTTGGCGTTTACGACAGCCTGTTACAGGGACAACATGGATTTAATCCACTTATCATCCGGCAAATATTTCTACTTAGGAAACAGGCGGAGCCAGCAGGTCAATGGCTTGCTATGAAGCCCCAAGGGGGACCAAGCTGCGACCCGCACTCGACTGGTGCTAGTGGCGTTCTCTGGGATGTGGAACGGCTTGGCAGAGGGCGAGTACACACCCGTGGCCTCCTGGGCTTGTACCGCAGGCTTTAAGGCAGGGCTCCTCCCTTCTTTGTTAGAGGTTAGAGGTGGTTTTTGGAGCCTGCAGACTTCGGACACACTGGTGGCAGTTGCTGCCAGAGAGATCTCTTGATTCGGTTCCAGATTCAGATGTTGTACTCGTACTGTTTAAAGCTGGGCCGTACCTAAGTGGGTTAACATTGGTAAAGGGATGTAAAGGGTAAACTGTGAGTAGTAGCCCTTACAATATCCTGCAATCATCACTAAAGCCAGTGGTGCATTGATATGCACCCCGATTCCCAATGAATCCGAAGCACAATCTTCAGGGACCGCTGAGGTAAAAACTCCCAGGAACGCTGGCAATTCCGTATGGTTCAAATTTTAAGACCCAACAAACCATTGATTTGACCCTCTGGTTATTTAACATAGCCATGGAAGCCATGGCTCATTTATAGTGGATATTCCCAGCTAGAAAGCTCCATTTATGGTTGGGATTTTCCATGGCGAACTGTTAGTCATAACCAGATTGTACAATGTGACGCCCCCAAGATACCTAAGTTGGTTTATAACTTCAATAACTATGGTTTATGGTACTTATAACTATAGTTCCTGGGGCTTATAAACCAATTTATAATTGGGAGGCCTCACATTGTAGTTTATTATGAGCATATTATGAGCATTACCCTCCGGTCATCAGCCACGTGGCTGGAAATCCCACCAGTGTCATCGTAGATGATGTTCATTGATTCCCCCAGCGAGAAAAACATCCATTGATAGAGGATTTCCCATTACCCATAGGATCCATGTATGCTATATATGGTAACATTTACCATCAATATACCCCAAATGTTAGCGTATATACCATACATGCATCCTATGGGTTATGTTTGATGACGCCGGCCCACAAAAATATATGGATTTGTCTGAACATCGGGTACGCCTAACTTAAAATCCCTTGGGGAATCAGCATCATGTTTCCCTAATTACATTGCAATTAAGGGGTATACCCACCATGTTCAGACTAAAATTTTCTGCTGTTTGAAATCCCCAGCTTGCCCATTCTATAACTGGGGTAGCCTTGGATGGGTACTTGGAAAAAAAACAAATCATAAACAACCAGAAACGTATCATTTGGTTGCAGGGTATACAATGATTAGCCATGATACTCTCCCGTACGCATCCCGTAAACTAACATAGATGGAACAGCCATCCATCATTCTGAATTCTTAGAGCATTTTCCTAGGGAAACCATACGAAACCATGTTTTTTTTCATGTTTTTTTTCCGCATTTTGTATGTTTAAACGTTTAAACTATAGGCTAAGTCTGCCGCGAATTCCTTCCATCCCAACCTTGGCCCGTTGGAGGTGAATCATTTGGTCCGAGAAGTGCGAGAGTTTGGAGCCTTATTTTCGCCATGGTTTCAGATACAGGTAAAGCATCTATAAATGGATATTACCATACATGTAACATGTATGTAGGTTGGTTGGGAAGGGGCTGGGGTTTGAAAGAGTTGGTTACATATGGGTTATGAATGGATATAGTATGATATAGTTACCATCTGGTTATGACATGTTATGACTATCGCCATGGTATAGATGGCCCTAATCGAAATAGATGGTTTACCGATCTTTTTATCATGGGTGGATCTGAAACCATGGCTAGCCCTGTGAACGTCTTCCAACCAGATGGTATAGAGAGAGAGAGAGATGATCAAATCTAAGGGATTGAACTGAAGCTCCAGATTTCCGATATCCGATAGGGAATTCGGAATTCAACTGAAGCAGACCTATGCAAACTTGATCCAGTCGCGAAACATCTGCGGTTTACAATACATGATGAGTTTGAGGCAGCAACTTTGAGTGCATTTCCCCCGAAAAAACTGCGGCACGAATTGGGATATCATCCAGAAATTACAAGCTTAGTAGTTTTGGGTTGGATACTTCCTGAACGGACTTTATACTTGGATCTGTATCCCACATCGGATCCGTGGTTTATAATCCATACACGACCCATAAGTGGGGATATCCGATGCGTCACTATATATGGGTATAGACATTTCTTCAGGCTGTTGGGGCTTTCCAACTGACATATTCGACTGGGGACGGGGGATTTGTACAAGGTGAGGACGCATAGTCAGTTGAAGTTGCTTTAAGAAAACTTCAAATTTATGATACTACATGATATTTATAGATATTTATAATGTTTTATAATATCTTTTCACTATACTATTCATGGGATATAAACCAAAAAACATCACTGGGGGGTACCTCCTTGTAGGATGTCAACACCTTTGTCTTTAAGGAAACTCTGGTAGAATGCTATGTTATATTGTTTTTTCTGCCAAAAGGATCTGAAACTACCACAGTAACTATATGGGTCGACCATTGTTTCATTGACCTTTGAAACATGTGACTGAGGCAGTTTGAGAATCAAGTTCAAACGTCTATTTGTCTGACCCTCTGACCCCCAAGGAAAAAACACATATGTGAAGATGTCTTTCTGGGAGGTTCGAACCTTCTTTTTGCACGCCTGTTTTCGCTGCAAAGACCTTTCGGTCTAACGCTTAGTGGCGCGCCCACGGCCACGCGCTGTGCGCTTCACAAATCTTTGTGAGCCATTCCGCAAAACTCGGATGATGGCGCCTCTTCTCAGGCCAGAAATGAAGATTTACCCTCCGGTAATCAAAGCTGGCTAGCTGGAAAATCCACCATCGATGTTTTTCCCGTGTTAACCTCCATCTATACAGGAGTTTCACTTGCCATGTTTGATTACCAGAGGGTACTGATTATAATGAAAAAAACTGATGATCAACAATTAACTAGAAACCACTTATTTAACAACAATTTCCACCATGTAATCAAGGATCCACAACAATAATAAGCATCCCCCATGAACTAGCCATTGTTGTTAATTTGTAGATCATCCCACAAATTGGTGATGGCTTATGACTCAAGGCGCGTTTTAAAGGCAATCAACCCCCTGGGTCGATGACGCGATTCCATTGGCTTAGAACAAAGCTTTGTTAAGGGCGCATTGATCACTAAGAACCACTGTATAACAAGGACTGTTAACCATCTAGTATCCGGGACAATGTCCCAAGTGAGGGAGTTACAATCTGATATTTTCAGATGAGCAAGCTGATTTTGTCAAGAGGGTACAGGAGTAACCCGAACTCTTGTTGTTTATATAGATCTTTCATATTCCAAGGTCTTTCTTCGGCCCAATCGGGGGGATGGAACCCAGGCTCATGAGATTCATGAGATAGCTGGCCGATGATGGGTCAAAATCATGACAAACCCAGGGGATGGTCAGAGCTTGGGGGTATCATCACAGAAACTCAACAGTTTATCAACATTCATATAGGCCAAAAATATATGGTAGGTACCTCCAATACATCGGTGACATGGCCAGTGATGCCAGAAAGATTGTTTCATGCGCTCTTGAAGAACGGTTTCCAGCTGAATCAGCTGTTCCCCTTATCCAATCGAATGACGTACCCTCTGGTAAACTAACATAGCTATTGAACATGGTCATAGAAATAGTTGATTTACCCATTAAAAATGGTGATTTTCCATAGCAAACTGTTAGTTTACCAGAGGGTATGTCATAGCTGGCGTCAACAGGGTTGCTCCAACCTGCAGGTGTCGGTTTCGTCATGGGGGGTACTCCCAAGGTCGTGCGTTTTCGATTGGAAGATCCCTAAGTCCCTATGAATTTCCATGATCTCCTTATAATCTTATGAAATCCCCACGAAGTGTTGCCTCATATTGGGGATAGATCAAATCTATGAAACCCTCTGGTAAACGTTTACAGTTTGCGAACTGGAAAATCACCATTTGTAATGGGTAAATCAACGATTTCTATGGCCATGTTCAATAGCTATGTTAGTTTACCAGAGGGTAATACCATATTTAGCATCCATGAACATCCATAAAAATCCCAGCAATGTTGGTCCGGGGGAGGCTTCTGCCGCTACTTCACCAAGCTCTTGCAGTTGGCAAGGCGCGAAGTTTTCTGCTATCGCCAGCATGGTTGAATGGCTAATCCACGTTCTATGTTTTCCAATGTTGGCTGTTTCTGGGTTTCTTGATTGTTTTGTTTTTTTAGCGTGTGGTTTTTGCTGTGTAGAATGTGGATATGTTCTGGTTGGTGGTTTGGAACATTTGTTATTTTCCATAATATATGATATGGGATAATCCTTCCCATTGACTTTCATGTTTTTCAGAGGGGTAGGTCAACCACCAACCACTGTTGATAGTGGATTGTTAGGGACGTTCATGTGATCCCTTGAAATGTACGAAGCTAACTTCGAACTGCAAATGATGGTCAGGACTGGGATTTTCGCGCGTGTAAGCTTCAAGAATAAGCAAAACCCTGGTCGGTGAGTTATTTAGCACAATGAATAACATTGACTGTACATGTACATGGCATAAAAACACTTTAGTAGACATGGTTTACTACAATGACTCAGAAACATCTTAAAACTCTGGGTAGTTAAACATAATTTATAACTTACAGTGGTTTTAAGATGCTTTAAGCATCAAAGACATGGATTCTATAGGAATGCATTTGGCAAAGGATGGTTTATTATATTGGTTATTGCAATGTGTGAAACTTAGCTGGTTTATTTGGGATTATAATGATCCACGGGAGCCCCATCGAACAAGCAGTTTTGAGGGATGACGGAGGGGACGGATGGGTTTTAGCACTGCTTGTACGGCTTCGTCCAGAAATGATGGAATGGCCAGACATGACAAATGACCCGTTTTGGGCCCTGTGCAATATGATGGCAACGTTGGGAGGAACTTTGTTAAATTCCAGGAGTAGTTGCAGAAACAGAGAGAGAGAGAGAGAGAGACAGAGGGAGATATAGACACGCAGTATTATTATATATATATATAGACATAGGTAGCAATGTGGTTGCGATTTTCGTTCATTCCTGCTTTTCAGGTCGAGTGCCACTAGAGTCTTAAGGAATGGACCCGCATCCATCACTCCCCAAGAATCAAAACTGAGAATGGAATTTTTGCATATGTTTTGCCATTTTATCATTGGCTATCCCATTGTGATGTAGGGTATTCCCTCAGTTCTCATTCTCAGATCAGAGACCACTTAAGCTAAGAAAACGTCGTAGTTGTTTGAGGTATTGTTGTTGATTTCCCATCAAACTGTGGATATTGCAAGGTCCAGCATAAATAAATTAAAAAATAACTTATTCATTTATTCAATATATTTATGTGTATATCTTATTTATGGTGCGTATATATATATAATATTATATATTATATATATATATCCCTGCAAGTCCGAAGGTCAAGTTGAACGAGGTCTTTAACGGCTGTTCACACTGCGGGGCCCCCTTCGAAACGAGGGCGGGCCTCAGGAGGCATATTACAGACGGACGTTGTCCGAGCTTCAATCCCTCAGCGACGAACGTGCCCTTGCCAGCCGCGCGGAAATGGGAAACACTAATGGCCATGGGTGACTTTACCCGCCAGGGGCTGACTGCGCATCAAAGATTGCAACGGACATTGGCCTGCCAACTTTGTGGAGAAACATACAGCCGCTGTATCGACCTGAGTGCCCACCTTCAGCAGAGTCATGCAGGCTTATGGATGTCAGATAGAATGCCAGAAGATATGCCAGATAAAATATGATAAAATGCCAGAAGATATGCCAGATAGAATGCCAGAAGATATGCCAGATAGAATGCCAGATCGAATGCCAGAAGATATGTCAGATAGAATGCCAGAAGATTTGCCAGATAGAATGCCAGATAGAATGTCAGAAGATATGCCAGAAGATATGCCAGATAGAGTGCCAGAAGATATGCCAGAAGATATGCCAGGTAGAATGCCAGAAGATATGCCAGATCGAATGCCAGAAGATATGTCAGATAGAATGCCAGAAGATTTGCCAGTAACAAAACGTATAAATGTCATGGTGGGGATCACTCGAAGTAAAGTATTTTTTTGCTTAAATTTCTAAACTTAGAAAAAAATACTAATGTTTCACGCTCGGTTCACGCTCGGTTCACGGTAATAGTACTGTAGGTCCTTTGGCAGTAATAGTAGGTCTTTAGAGGGTCCGTTCACGCTCGGTTCACGCTAGCAATTTTGGACCTCTGACAGTTCATATGCCATGCGTTCGTGGTGGTTCCGGCCCTGGATTCCCAATGATGAAATAGTGCGGGGTACTCAATAATAATAAACTACAAGTTGGATATGTGGTAGGTGAAGGGAAGAACTTATCTTGAAAATTATATCATTTCCTGCAGGGTTATTGGGCAAAATTGCCCGCATGAAAAGCTGTCATATATGATCATATACACATGATATATCATAAATCAACAGAAATGACTTCATGATACAACTCAGAGCCATCAAAATACCGACAGAAACCAATCAAAAAAATGATCGAAACTGGTTGAAAACACTATGCCACCCACAAGGTCCACGTGAAAGTAGTTCCCTATCAAGTAATAGTAGGTCCTGATCATCAAAGTTAGAAGGCCAAATTTTACGAGGTCATTGACCTGGAGGGTATATATACGTATTAAAAGATAACAAACATATAGTATAATATATATATATATATAATAACATAATATATACATATTGTGGACGGAAGAAATCCTGCACCACCTTGGACAGTTGAAACTCTATAAATAGTGGGGTAAACCACCTATGAACTTGTGCAGGATTTCTTCCACCCACTCTCCACCTTTCCCAACACCGACACGCACGGTTCGCAGGGCAACCCAACGCTTCATTGCAGCAACCCCAGCACTGGGCATGTGTGAAATTACACCTGTATGTCTGGGAAATACCACATTTGCTTAGTGGTTTTAAGTTGTGACTTTACTAACAACATATTTAGGATGATAATCCCTACAAACAGGATGTTTTTTTAAGTCTATGTTCAATCATACCTGGTGACAATGATCCGAAAACGACTTGTTTTTGGGGTGGTTGAAAACGCAAATCTACATGATGACGGCTATCAAACATCTGGCCAGTAATCAATAGCTATAGGATTATAGGATATTATAGGTGTGTCTCAAAATGGGGTACACAAGCATTATGATATCTCATGTTTTGTTTAGTGAACCTATTTTTTTTGTAGAATAGGATACATGTGCCCCCCACAAGGTGGTGCCCCCAGTGACGTTTGTTGGGTAAACCACGGAATTCACCAAATTTGAAACTAACTTAGCGATTCGGAACTGGGGATGTCAGAAGGATCTTTCTGATCACTGCCCAAGACGAACGGAAGATTGGGATGCTGGATGAGTCTGTTGTCCAACATGGGTAGAGCTGGACATACGAAAAGATGTGTGTTTGGGAAATCTGGAGGGAAACACTGTGTGAAGTATGACGTCCGATCCATGGCAAACTTTGATCACATAAGGCATACTTAACTCATATGCTCCATGGTGCTGGAATATTTACCAACATTTGCCCTAAAAATGACCCAGTTTTGTAGGTAAATATTCCACACATGGAGCATATGGGTAAAGGAAGACTACAAGGGGATTTGAGTACGGCTGTGACCGGCTGTGACCTCTGTCACATCGGCAAATCCAACTTGGCTACTTCAGATATGGAGGTGTCCTTAAATGGGGGGGTACCTCTAGAGAATACATTTTAATATACCCTCTGGTTATGACTAACATAGCCATGGTATAGATGGCCCATAGAAATAAATGGATGGTTTACCTCTTAAAAATGGTGGATCTTTGCATGGCGAACTGTTAGTCATAACCAGATGGTAGTATTTCACCATTGCCATATGTATATATATATAAACCATTTTAACCACATAAACCATCCATTTAACCATCCATGGGCTACTTTAATATAATTTTCCACATAAACCATCCATCCTGGATGGAGTACCCTCTGGGATGGAAAACCCTCACCTTGAGCGATGTAGTGTGGCAATCTGGCCACATGGTGCTACTATGAATTTACAGTGACCCCCCAAAAAAAAACAGATCAACAGAAGTGAAATCCCACTTTAAATAGTGATTTGTATAGTGATTTAAGTGATAAATCACTGTTCTATATCTTTTTGGGTTTACAGTATGTCATCCTCAAAAGACGAGCCGGGCTCTGACTCGTGGACTCCTGAGGTGTAGTTCTGGCAACGCCAAACACCTATGAAGTTCACATGTTGGCAGGGCAATTCAGGTTGAAGGCCATGGGGTTGTGGAGAGAGAGCATATACACTCTCTGGTTGTAACGTGGCAACCCGAAAATCCCCGGACGAACTGGAGGTCTTAATCATGTTTCAATGGTAAAGTCATCTATAAAATTATGGATTCGTCATTTGTCTTTGAATTGTTTGACTAGCGGATGGTATTATATTGACCAGTGTCAGTTTTGTTAGTTTTACAATTCCTAGTGGCAAAAGAAAGAAAACACACTTCGCATTTGCATTGCTCAAGCGTCTCGACGTGGTGATCATGTCAACATTCCGCATTTCGATCTGTAGATGTCCTTTTCCCAGCTGGTTGATTACTACTGGTTTATATACCCTCTGGTAAATTAACATAGACCCTGGCAGATAGGGGTTGGAAGGTTCGTTTCCATTAATACGAGGCTATTTTCAGGGTCTATGTTAATTTACCAGAGGGTAAGATGGTGTAAGAATCCAAAAAGGTGCCATGGTTTTCCGATCTCAGGACATGATTGAAACATATTGAAACAGTCCCAGCTAAAAATGGCACTGAAAAATCACTCCCGGTTCAACAGATTTGGATTATCATACCCAAAAAACATCTAGGCCAGCGTTTTCGAGAAGAAAAATTAAACGAACATGTTTAGCCAGCCAAGACTTTCAACGTGCAGAGTTCCAGATAAACGACAATCAATGGCCATGCTCTCTTTCAGCAGTAGATGCACAATTTGTCCGCATCATCAATCCCCGACATGTCAAGCTCGGTTGTACATGAACAGGTTGATTCTCAGCAATAAAGGGATAAACCTCTAGAAACCTGATATCCGGCAAAACGCATGTTCATTTGCGGAGCATCTAGAATGAGCTATGAATCTCTCACTCTTGTCATTCAAAAAACACTGATTTCAGGAAAAGAACTCAGGACAAGAGTCCAGTCGCGTAGAGTCGGATAGAGGTCACAACAGCCCAGTTTCGTTTCTGCCCCAGGCCGGTATTTTCGGTCCGGACCTCGGAGCTGACTGGACTAGGTCGCTATCACTCGAAAATGGCGAGGATAGCCAGATCCAATAGGATAGCTACTCGAAAGATCTCCAAAACGACCGAACAAAACTCTTCAGATTGGTGAAATCTCTTCGAAATTACCCAGTGTAACGTTGGTTTAGTGACGCTTCAGTGGTGCCGGCAGCCTCCGATGGAGACGTTGCCACCAATGAAACGGTTCTCAGGGTCTATCTCGGCGGGATATGTGTGTGTGTGTTTTAATGATTTGGGACGGAAGGTTATGGTGATTGGTGATCTCAAAGATGTTTTGTTTTGAACCAGTGAGACTCTTTGAAGGGATGTGGATGCAAGGGTGAAAATGTTGGTAGTCCGTGAATTGGATATGTCCAATTCAATCAATCCAACCCGCCATTTCGCCTGTTCCAGCGCCGAAATTAGCGCCTTCTGTGTCTGAAACTATAGTATACTTCCAGAATCGATGGTTTATCATCAGTTTACCTATATTGAAAAATTCCAAAATTGACGGCAAACATGATTAGTTGATAGCAATGTTCATCCATATTTTCCTTCTTAAAATGACCAGAAAAATCCCTCAGGGCTACCACTTTTATTCACACCCCTTTTAAAGAGACAGAGCCCACCGCTCAGAATGCGACTCCTACGACATCTATAGCAATGTCAGTGCATGGGAGCTCTTTAAAGATCACGTGCGGCACCCAGCTACGGGCCAAGGATGTTCCATGTTTCAGGCGTTGAGGTCGCGTTTCACCCGACCTCAAAATGGAGCAACAATAAGATCTTTTCACTTGGTTTAACTTGCCGACTTTGGGGTATTTAACCACCAAAAATCAGGATTGATATCATGGGATTTCGCCAATGAATCATGTGATTGATATGAGTGTGTCTGAAACAGCGGGAAATTGTCCCAAACAACTATTTCTCTATGGTGAACATGTTCAAGCGTGGAGTTTTGCTCTCTCTGGGAAGCTCCCCAGGTTTCGATGGCATGATGGCTTTGTCTTCGGGGAACACCATGAGCCAATTCCATTGGACTTGTCCGTTTGAAATGATTGAACTCACTGGCCATACATGGGGCACCTCAAAAGAATGATTTCATTGGTTAGATCCTGATTTCCACCCGGAACAAAAAAAAACATGATTCACTGCAGGATGGGGCCCCCAAGATAGCGTTCAGTTAAGATATAAGTCCCTTGAGTATATGGTTCATGGTAGATATAACATGATATAACAAACTGGTTCTTACATATCAACAGTTTATGGTAGATATAACGAACTGGTTCATAAGCTTTATAAACAAACGTTCACATCACTGGCTGGGGCAGCATCCTGTGAGATCCCGCGTCGCGTCGAGGTGGATGTAGCTGATCAGCTTGCACACAAGGCGTGGTGATGCTTGAGCAAGTGGTACGTTAGTCCCATATTTCAGGCCACATGAATTGTGGGGATATTCCCTGAAATTAAGGCCTGAAAAAATAGGCCAAACATATATGGTAATTAGGTACTTCCATTTTAGGTCCCATATAGTTTGTAAAATCACCATATAACATAACATCGATGTCGCATAGATTTCCCCCAATTCCTGATACCAATTCCCGTGGCTTTTCCGCCTTGGGAAAGGTGCACAACATCGGGATCCCGCTCTTCGCGCCGATGGTCGCAGGACCCCCAGGCAGGGAGCTTTTGACAGCGACGTGAGCCACTGTAGTTTCCGAAGCACAACGGTAAAGGTCAACATGGACTGGTTGGTGGTTTCAAACATGCTTTATTTTCCATAATATATGGGATACTCCTTCCCATTGACTTTCATATTTTTCAGAGGGGTAGGTCAACCACCAACCAGTGGAGGTTTAACATGCTTCCAACCAGCCAAAGTTGGAAAAATGGTGAAAGTTTCTGGGATAAATACTACGATTTCACCAGCCAGTTAGTTAGTGGATGTCTACGAGGCAAGCTGATGCTCCAAGCATCCAAGGTGGCCATTTAAGGCTAAGATATGAGGATTTAACATGATGTAACTGATCCATGTGCTGAAGAGACAAAAGGTTTTGTCCAATCACTGGTTCAACTGGGTGGCTTTGAATTCATGAATCTTTGGCTGTAGACAGGGATATGTTAACCTAACCAGCTAAAAACAAAAGTACCCTCTGGTTATGTCAACATAGCTATTGAAAATGACCATTTATAGTGGATTTACCCATTGAAAATTGTGATTGTCCATAGATATGTTGGTTTACCAGAGGGTAATCAAGGTAGTATAAAGGATTGAGAAGGATTGGCTATGATGGATGAAAGGAAACGGGCATGGGTCAATACCATTTGGCCATCAAAACTGGGATGTTGAACCTTTACTGATAGATCTGATAGGGGTGTGAACCGGCATGTGGGGATATAACATGATATAACATATATTATATAACACATTTTTGTGTATCTATAGTTACATAATACTATAATGTATAATATTATAATATATATAATATAAAACAATATATCTAATAATATAATATATAATAATATAATATATGATAAGAAAATATAAAACAATATAATATAATAATATAATATAATATTTGTAAACATATAGATACGTACAGTATGTATGTGCGGATTATAGATAGTTTTTCTGTGTTGCTGGAGATATGAGCTTGGAGTTTTTATCGCTCCACATGAACGGTGGATGACCAACCGAGTTTGATGGGGACGTCACTGAGATCACCAACATTCACCAAGATTTTTTTTTACTTAGAACCCACCCTTAAAGGTTGAAGGAGGGCCATTAATAAAGATTCACCCACATGTTAACCATACATAGTTAACCATAGGTTATCCATGAAAATTGATTATCCATCAAACCTATGGGCAGTAAGGCAGTACTACCTATTATTAGCTGGTTGATGGTTTGGAACATTTTGAAGATTTTTCCCATCATATTGGGAATAATAATCATCCCAACTGACGAACTCCTTCATTTTTCAGAGGGGTAGGTATACCACCGACCAGATAAACATTCACCCACATGTTTTTTTGGGTTTACCCTCTGGTAAACATACAAAAAACTATGGAAAATCACCATGTTCACTGGGCAAATCCACTATAAATCACCATGTTCAATAGCTATGTGGACATCACCAGAGGGTAGATTCAATCTCCTTCATCCCAAAAAAGGTTAAACAACCCACTGTCGCCACTGTCGCTTCGCCTTTTACGCCAGGCTGGGATCCCAGTGACGCGAAACAAGAGGGGAAGAAGGCACGTTTCTCAGGAGTTCTTGGAGAGAATACCTTATGACTAACATAGCCATGGAAGACATGGTCCATTTGGGTTTGTCTGAAAATGTTGGGGATATTCCCAATGAAATAGCCATTTAATAGGGATAATGATCATTAACCATTGGGTTTAGGGGTACACTATTTTCAGACACACCCATTTATAGATGGTTTACGTATTAATTAAACATTGTGATTTTCCATGGCTATGTTAAATAACCAGATGGTAAGTATAGTGGTGACTCAAAACCAAGGTATCCATGGCGATTTTGTGGGTGTAGCCCATTTTTAAGACATCTCCGGACATCGCCACATAAATGAGAAAACAAACAACAGGGATGCTGAATCTGACCAACACAAATGGAGACAACTTGAATCAACGTGACCACCATGATAAAGGGATAACACCCATAATTGATGCTGCTTGGTGGTTTGGAACATTTTTTTTATTTTCCCATATATTGGTAATAGTAACCCCAGCTGACGAACTCATATTTTTCAGAGGGGTAGGTCAACCACCAACCAGGATGTCAGGGATGAAGTCACTGGGTTTTTCGCCCCATTGGAATGGGAACTGAGCTGGGACCATGGGCAAAAATTGTTGAAGCTTCGCCTTGGTGTTGCGGAGATGGTGTTTCGGGCTTTTCGAAAAGCCAGCCCCTATGAAATGCACCATTGAGTTCCAGGATTTTCATGGATTTTCCATGATTTTCCCATCTATAAACCTTCATAGCTGGGATTTTCCAGTTCAAAGTTCAGTCTTTTCAGAGTCTGTTTGGTTCGCGACGATGCACTCAGTGGTTGATTGATACCAATTGAAGGTGCACCATCTAGGGTTATTTGTTGGCTTGTTTGGAGGGTTTCCCCCTGCAATATCGTCCTTGCACAGATCTGACATAGATTGGTAAATCGTTTTTTGGTTTTGTGGATGACATGACTTGCGGTCAAATGGATCTGAATGTAAATAGAGAAATATCTAACAGCTAGAAAAGTATAGAAACATATAGAAAACTCACATCCTACCAAGAATTCTGCGGAATTTAAAACGTTCTGCATCTCTTTGGGGCTTACTTCATACGTATCTTATCAGATAACTGGAGAGTTGGGGGCTCATCCCCAAATGGCCGTGGTTAGTGCATTGAATGTATTTTAATGTCATTTCATCATCATTGAGGCAGAATTACATGTGAGCCATGTCCAAAACCAAAGACATCCGAAGACTGTCCTTATGCCATGGGGATGTTGATCTTGGGGCATGGCCATTTTCTCAACTGGATTTTCATGCGTTGCCACCGATGCATCCGGGCTAGGTGGTGGCTCATCCCACTTAGTAAGTAGGTGAAAAAACCCTGGTGATTTCACTGGGCTAAGTAGGAGCAAGGTTCACTTATAACTGGGGTTATAATCCACTTACTAACTGGGATGAGCCACCAAGTAATTTTCATGGAGTCTCAACCGCTGTGTGTCATGGCAAACATCAAGCACCAACGGTTCCTGAGTCCCGCACCGTTATCAGCCCTGAGGGCGCCAAACATTTAGCCAACACACCGATCTTCGAGTGACTTGGAGTGTCCAGTGACCTGAGGGGATTCAAGTAGCAAAGATGTGAATGCATCGGATCCATTCAAGAAAAACATGGAATCTGAGCGCATGAAATGCGGAGATTAAGCAACAAGCCATGACTTTTGGGTCAAGCAACTCGGGGTTCGACGGCTCCAAGACTTAACTCCACCATAGATGATGGTGTATATTATGAATGATAACAATAATGATAATATATATATATATAATCATAGTACATATATATATGTATAATCATATATGATAATACAATATATATATATACTATACTATATATATATTTATATAGGGAAGCATTCCAAATATCCAATCAATAATCCCCCAGTGTGTTTTGTGGGTGATTATTGGGCAGCAGATTATTGCACCAGCTGCTGGCTTTTGTTCAATTCCACCTCGCCTGGGACCATCCAAAACAATGCCGAAAAGTGAGAAACCAGGAGGTTAGTGTGATGATATTTACTTGGTGGCTCATCCCACTTAGTAAGTAGGTGAAAAACCCCTGGTGATTTCACTGGGCTAAGTAGGAGCAAGGTTCACTTATAACTGGGGTTATAATCCACTTACTAACTGGGATGAGCCACCAAGTACCCTCTGAAATTTCCCATGATCATTATAATCTTATGAAATTCCCATGAAATGTTGCCGAATATATGGGGATAGATCAAATCTATTACCCTTTGGTAAACTAACATAACTATGGAAAATCACAATTGTTCATGCGTAAATGAATCAAATAAACTATTTCTATGGCAATTTTCAAGAGCTATGTTAGTTTACCAGAGGGTAATACATATGTACACATATGCCCATATATTTCCAGGTTTCTCATAGTTTTCAATAATCTATGTATATATATATATATACATATTTTTTGGGGTTTGCTGTCAAAAAACGACAGCCATGGTATCCTGCGTTCGACCAAGAATTCCTGCTCCCTTCATCCCTTCCCCTTCTAAAAATTGCAGCTGTGTCTAAAGATAGGCTACCTCAAAGGTTTTAATCATCTTTTTCCCCATTGAGTTTGAGTATCGTACTGTAATCCCCAACAAGATAGAAGTTCGTAAAATCCTACTAAAGTAGTGATGAATTTTACTTTTTCATCTTTTTGTGGGATACTATATATATATATATCTTAGTTCGTCTGGGTGGTGAAACCCTTCTATTTGGAGGGCTATTTTTTTTGGGATTTTTTTTCCTGTTTTTTTTTGGGATTTTTTTCCCGTTTTCTGGTGGAAGGAAGGTGCGAAGAAGGAAGGAAGGAAGGAAGGAAGGAAGGCAGGAAGGCAGGCAGGCAGGCAGGAAGGAAGGAAGGAAGGAAGGAAATAAGGAGGGAAGGAGGGAAGGAGGAAAGGAGGGAAGGACGAAAGGAAGGAAGCAAGAAAGGAGGGAAGGAGGAAAGGAGGGAAGGAGGAAAGGAGGGAAGGAAGGAAGGAGGGAAGGAGGGAAGGAAGGAAGGAAGGAAGGAAGGAGGGAAGGAGGAAAGGAGGGAAGGAGGAAAGGAGGGAATGAGGCAAGGAGGGAAGGAGGAAAGGAGGGAAGGAGGAAAGGAGGGAAGGAGGGAAGGAGGGAAGGATGCAAGGGGGGAACGAAGGGAAGGAAGGAAGGAAAGAAGGAAGGAAGGAAGGACCATGTGTGCAGTCAACACTTGCAGCTTGCAGCCACCACGGGCAGCGTGCAAAGTGCTGCTGAGCTGCTAGAGCTGAGGGGTTTCCAAAACTATTTTCTGGCCTTGTCCGGGCCTCGTTTTGGCATCGTTTTTGGCCTCGTTCGGAACCCGTCGCAGAAATACTGAGGTGAGATGCAAGTCAGAGCCACATAGATGTGTGACCAAAGCATACCAAAACATACATGAACCATGCGCTCACATTTTGTTTTAAACCAAAAAATGACTTTTCTTAGATGTACTTGTTTTAACCGGCTCCCCTTGCTACCTACTCTGATTCCTTTTTCAGAAGCATCATCGGTTATTTGCGTTCATTTCATCTTCATTGATCTCCATCGCGACTTGTGCCTATGTACTTCTTTCATGTTCTTTCTTGGTACGCATTGCAGGGGACCCCCCCACCCGCTTTTGTTTTTTCATCAGCTTCCCTTCCTACCTACTCTCTTGCCTTTTGCTCATAAGCATCGTTTCTTAGGGTTCATTTTCTCTTTCTTCTTCTTTCAAAATATCCATCGAGACTTGTGCCTATGTGCTTCTTTCTTGATCTTCTCGTTCTTACTTGCAATATATCCATTGAGACTTGTGCCTATATGCTTCTCTCTTGGTACGCATTGCGGGGGGAGGCGCTGCGCCCTCCCCCCTGCACCCCCCCACCCGCTTTTATTTTTAAACCGGTTCCCCTTGCTACTACTATTCCTTTCTTTTTGCATAAGCATCATCGTTTATTTGGGTTAATTTCATCTTTGTTGATATCCATCGAGACTTGTGCCTATGTGCTTCTTTCTTGATCTTCTCGTTCTTACTTGCAATATATCCATTGAGACTTGTGCCTATGTGCTTCTCTCTTGCTACTGCTACTGCTACTGCTACTGCTACTGCTGCTGCTGCTGCTACTGCTACTGCTACTGCTACTGCTACTACTGCTACTACTGCTACTACTGCTACTGCTGCTGCTGCTGGCTGCTGCTCCTGCTGCTGCTGCTGCTACTACTACTGCGACGACGACGACGACGACTACTACTACTACTACTATTACTACGACGACTACGACTACGACTACGAATACGAATACGACTACGACTACGACTACGACTACGACTACGACTACTACTGCTCCTGCTGCTGCTGCTGCTACTGCTACTACTGCTACTACTGCTACTACTGCTACTACTGCTACTACTCCTACTACTACTACTACTACTACTATTACTACTACCACTACGACTATTTTTTTTTGATCTAGGTTTGCAGCACGAAACCCGTGAGGTCTCACACAGTGGCACCTGGATATTTTTTTTTTGATGCGTGCTGGATATTTTTTTTGATGCATTTATATTTTTTTTGATACGTGTCTCCACCGGCACGTTGTTTCCATACCTGTTGCCACCCGTGAGACTTTACTTGTATGTGCTTGTGGTCACATTTGCCATTCACACGAACTATTTCGACGCGATGCAACCAGACTCATACCAGCACTGTGGGCTGAAGAAGCGCCGTTCGAAACTGTTAGCACACAAGCAAACATAGATCATAAGTGCAAGCAAGAGCACAAACGAAACCGCACCAACCAACCAACCAACCAACCAACCAACCATCCATCCATCCATCCATCCATCCATCCATCCATCCAACCACAACAACAACAACACCATGCAAATCAGAGAGCTTAGCTGCAAAACGCCGCAAATACCAATCAAAACCATCAAACCCCAAAAAACGGGAAAAAAATCCCAAAAAAAAACGGGAAAAAATTCCCAAAAAAAAATGCAGCCCCTTCTATTTCTCCTGTCCTGGAAATCAGGACCTTGTGGTCAAACGTTTGCGCAGACGGCAGTTTCAGGCGCTGTGCTATTCTGGTTCGGGGCCGCGGTACCCGAACCAAGGTCCCAGCCGTCGCCCATTTATCGATGACTCGATCTATTAAAGATTGTGATATTCCATGGCTACGTTAGTTTAAGGGTATCACTTTAAAAAAAATGGAGGTTGAAACAGTGAAAATGTGGATATGAGTCGCAAACATAGGGATCTACCCGCTGAACAATGGATATGCGTTCTGAAAATGGGTGGGGACACCCCAACAGAGCCATTGCAATGGGGAAAATGAATGAAAATGATAAAATGATAATTTTGAATACACGATTTTCACACAAACGACCATAGAGAATCGGCGGAGATGGCGCAGTTCGATAGCTCCGATAGAATCAACCTCCAAAGGTCGACAATGTGAGAAACCATGAGATATGATATACCCTCTGGTAACTTAGACCCTGGCAGTCATCGGGGTTGGAAGATTAGTTTCAACTAAACAATGACTATTTTCAGGGTCTATGTTTTCATTTACCAGAGGGTAAATAGAACCTTAAACTAAGATCCAGGAAACAATTCTCTATCTGTTTGGGGTGTGTGATATATTTGTATACCACAAATCCTGGTCAATCTACTTAAATCTACTTGGACTTATCAAATCTGATCAACCAACTGATGCAATTTGTGTCGTAAACATGCATAATCATTCAGACACCTTACAACATATGGAATTATTGGCGGCTTTATGGTTTTTAAAATGCTTTAAACAAAAATTACTCACTGGAGTGCACCCCCAAGGATAGCGAATGATATTTCATTGTTTTTTTCAGTAACCAACATAAAACGATTTAGCTCACAACGGGACACAGCCACGGGAACGCCAGGCATTATAGCTTCACCGCCAAAGTGGATGTGGACACGGTGGGAAGTGTCAGAGGATGTCCTGTGGTAAAGGTGTCTGAGAATCGTGTACGTTAATCATAGGTATTGCGTAGATTAACCATAGATAGTTAACTATAGGTTATCCATGAAAATTGATTATCCATCAAACGTATGGGCAGTACTACCTATCATTAACTGGTTGGTGGTTTGGAACATTCGGATTATTTTTCCCATCGTATTGGGAATGTCATCATCCCAGCTGACGAACTCATATTTTTCAGACCAACCAGATATATAACTGCGGTATACCCCATTTCCAGACACACCATGACACACCGCAGACGATGGTTAGGTGTGGGCGGTCAAAACCTGTGGCACCAGTGGGGGATTAACATCTACCAGCTACTTTGATGTTTACCAATGGGGGTTTGACCCATAACCCATATGCTCCATGGTGCTGGTATATTTACCCACAAAACTGGGTGATTTTGTTCAGGCAAATGTTGGTAAATATTCCAACCATAGAGCATATGGGTATAGAATGGTATAGAAATATCTACCATAAAACCATAGTTGACCTAGTTGACCTGGGTATAGAAATATCTACCATAGTTGACCAATGGGGATTTGACCCATCACCATGATTGGAACTGAGGTTCTGTTGCCGAACCGGGTCTCCGCCGACATGCACGGTCGACCGCCGCGCGCGGAATACTTCTGGAACGTGAAAAACGACATGTACGGCCGCTGGGCGGAAACGTTTTTCAGCCACGTGCCCATCATGGGATGATCGAAGGGTTGTGTTTGATGAGTATTTGTACCCTCTGGTAATGACTAACATAGCTATTGAAAATGGCCATTTATAGTGAGTTTTCCCATTAAAAAATGGTGATTTTCAACAGTTATGTTAGTTTACCAGAGGGTAGCGAGGTGACCATCCAATGACTTACTGGTGCGTTTTACGCTAAGGGAATGAGTCAGGGAATGATCCAGTGGCTATCAATTTCATCATCCCAGCAACAGTCCCATCCAGCAACCCTACGTTACCAAGATGATCCAATGGATCCATCAAGCACAATTCAAGCTGTATGATCTCAGTGTGAATGGCTCCAAAATTATACACCCCCGAAGTCATTTCAAGGGTTTCGGACTGGCTGCATCCGTAGGCTACGGTAAGTAGAAGATATTATAACTGATTGGTGGCTTGGAACATTTGGATTATTTCCATAGATTGGGAATCATAAGCCCAACTGACTTTCATATTTTTCAAGATTGTTAAAACCACCAACCGGTATATATACAATCTCATATTTGATGTGACCGTAACTCGATAATACTCAGGTGACAATGCAGGCTTTGCCTGGACAAGCCCCTGATTTTTTCTTGCTTTGAAAGATCTTAAACTTTTGGGATCAAGTTGGATAAAGCTATATTCCAGTTCCACTTCTATTTGGTATGTTCTCTGGATTTCTCTGCCTCCAATTTTCACAACTTTCACGACCGTTCACTGAGGGAATTTCCTGCACGGCCCCATCGAGCTCATTTCGAGAGATGCGATGCACACCCTTTGCAAGCGCTCCCAGGTGCAGCTTTTTGATGCTTTTTGTGGGGCGACTGGACCCATCCAAACCATGCATGCGGACAAGGACTTTTCCATATCCCACTACTTGGTGGCTCATCCCACTTAGTAAGTAGGTGAAAAAAACCTAGTGATTTCACTGGGCTAAGTAGGGGCAAGGTTCACTTATAACTGGGGTTATAATCCACTTACTAACTGGGATGAGCCACCAAGTGTACACGAAGTAACTTTCTCGTTGAGGGGTTTACAACAGTAGCCATGACCCCGGGATTTTTTCAGTTTGTTGAAGAAACAGGACAATTCTCACACATGTTGTTGTCTATTTTTGTTTTGTGGGCCAAATCTCCGCTACTGTGAAGCAGGTCTTACCCTTGCTTTCGAATCATTGTGAATCCCTCTACAACTTGCTCTTACATTCTGTGTCCCAAAATGATTCATGATGATCAGGATATTCCCTTGTTTTTTTTTCCACTGCAATGCTATGCATGAAAATCACCCGTATGGGATGATGGGAAGAAACATGGGAGGTGTGCAAGAAAAGCATTTCCCAAGCCGCCTATGGAGAAGACTTCTACATGAAGCTTGGTGTATAGTCATGATCTGGGCTGCGCATCACCTAGTTAAGTTGCTTTGTAAGTGTAGGTGAACCAGAGGTTCTGGTAGATGTATATATCTATATATATCTATACTTAGATGCTGCGTGAAGAGATCGTGCTGGATGGGATATGATGGGATCTAGATTCAAAGACCGCCAGCTAGGCCTCATCAAGCTGGTGTTTTTCGCTTGCTACAACCCTCTAGCTGATCTAGTATCCCTACATATAGCTTGCGAGTAGCTGGCAAGTTTTCGCGGCAAGATGGGGACAGTTCAGACCCAGGATGCTAAGGTTACGCCGAAGGCAGGTGACATGTGGTCATAGCTGGGGGTGGCCCTTCCTGTAGTTATTAGAGGTCTTGGGTAAGGAGGTATTATATGGTTATCGATCAATACCCACAAGTATTTGTTTAGGGGGATGAACACAACTACGAGTTATTTGTTTTAGTTTGCCAAGGTACCAGGGTTCTGACTAGTAGCGAAATAACTTCATTGATTACAGGCAATGAAGGGAATGTGATAATCATTCATTGGTTTATCTGCAGCAACATCAATCATGATGATATAATGATCATAATTCCGGTTTGTTCATTCAATCAATGATTTATGTTAATGAGTGCAAAATGATTTAAGAATTGAGAATCAAGGGTTTGCACCCGGTTTTGAACAGTCTTTCGAAACCATGTATTACTTTGAAAGGGATATAAAAGTGAGAGTTGAAACCGTAATTTTAACAGTCATTTTTGACGGAGAGATGCATGCAGAATAATGTATAATATGTATAATGTACAATATGTATATTATTGTATATACATACATTATATTATATATATACACATACTGATTGTCATCCACACAGCCTTTTTTGCATGGTATATTTGGCCATGTTGGTTCTGTTCCCATTTTACGAATCACTGATCTTCATGATTTTCTTCGAAGTTTGATGAGTTTCATGCCAACGTTGGGATGAAACTGCCCAGGGGACCACAGGTGAAGGGGTGATGATACGACTTGGTGTTAGCTGAAAAAAGATGAGGTGGAAACCAATGCTAATATCAAATCTGTTTTGGGGATGGTTGGGTGGTTTTTGAGCTAGTGGAGCTTTGTCATGTCGGTGGATCACCCCCTGGGTGTCGATTTCGCAAATCTGGTCGTTTCGCTTCGCGAAAGTCCTGCATGGCTGGGTTTACGCAGGCATCTGGACATGAATTAGCTTCTAGTAAATTAACATAGCTATTGAAAATTGCCATTTATAGTTGATTTACCAGAGGGTACCAGAGGGTACACGGAATTCGTCTTGAAAGTTTTGAGGGAACACAGTGGGCGGCGGCAAGTGGGATCATTCTCCCCCCCTGGAAATCCTGGTTTCGTATTGGGCCTATTCATGAACTGGGGTGCCAAAGAATGGGTATATTTCATATAATCGCAGCATGGGAGTATTGTTGGTTGTTGTTGGGCAAGTAGTATACATCCCAAGCAAAGGTGGGGCCCCCTAGATAGCTAAGTTGCTTTATAAGGGCAGTATATAAGTATGTCTTATGGAAGATATCTCTGTAGTTCATGGGAATCATCTTAGTGTATGACTGGGGGCACCCACTCGCTTGTGTTCTCATTGATATTATCCCCACTCATATGCTTTTCTGTGAAAGTAGGCTACCCCCAAACTCAATGGTTATTCATTTAAACAATACCTTTGAACATTGATTTTCGCATACCCCATTGACCCACCTATCATTTATCTATGTACGAGCGGCATGAGCAGCATCCTGAATCAGCTCCTGGATGCCAAGGAATGAGTGTTTGAAGCATCTAGGAGTTCCAGCAGTGCAGGGTTTCGCGACGGCAGTTGGCTGTTCCGCTGACATTGTTACTGTCCGAGATGCCACCCATGGTGCTGGAAGATCGACCCATGGTGATTTTGGGGGGTAAATGTCGGTAAATATTCCAGCACCATGGAGCATCTGGGTGTGTAGGATGGCTTCCGACTTTCGATTTACAGGATTCCGCAGCAGCAACTTGCGATTTGTGAAGCCCACTTTGACACTTTTAGCCTCTGGCCATCAAACGTGAGAGACCGCCCTCTGGGATGATTTTCCCAGCTACAAAAACCCTCCATTTCCATCGGCATTATGGGGATTTTCCAGCCACGTTTGATGGCCAGAAGTTCACCAGAAGTTGGGATGGAAGCAACAAACACTGTTTGAATCTTGGGGAAAGAAATGTGGATACCCTCTGGTTATGTCAAAATAGCTATTGAAAATGGCCATTTATAGTGGATTTACCCATTAATAACATGGTGGTTTTCCATAGTTATGTTAGTTTACCAGAGGGTAACAGAACTTGGGCAAAACCATCGCCAGCAAATATTAACGTAACTTTGAACCAACAAGACTTGGCATTTTGCCTATCTACCAACCAACGATCTTGTTGTAGTGTATCATAGGTATCCGAAATATACTTATGGTTACGATTTGGGACGGTGCGTGAGTGAAAACTTCAATGACTCACTTCAATGACTCGCTGCGGGTCCCAAGATATTCCAAGACAAATTGTACCATGAAGTTGTGCTGTGCGGACATGTTTCAGCTGTTGATTAAAAATGTTGCTAGACCCTCCAAGTACCTTCGGAAAAATGTGATAATGGGCTGTGCCCATGATTTTTGGACGGTTACCCGTGTTGAGGGCGGTAACAACGGAGGGTCGTTTTTTTTCCTGCAAATCCTCCAATGTCTGACTCACACTGGCTGCGATGAAAGAGACGCTGGTTAGTATAAAAACATGACAGTCATATGGCAGCCGAACAAAAATACCCGGCTATGAATCATGAAAGGACGCTAATAGTTTTCTCGAGCCACTGCAGCCATTTCCCAATTGTTGTTAAACTTGTTTTTTGGTGGTGAACTCATGAAATTGATCCAAAATGAAAGGCACATAAAGGCACTGTTCCTGGATAAAACCAAAGCACATCTGTCAATGTCCCATAATTCTTGGCATTTTTTGGGCCCGGTTCTAACGACCCCTTTGACCCACCAATCCAGCATTTGCATGATGAGAGCAACGAGGCAGACCAAGCGTTCATAGAGAATCATGTTTCAATATTTATGCTGGTGGGTGGTTTGGAACATGTTTTTTCCATAATATATGGGATAATCCTTCCCATTGACGAACTCATATTTTTCAAGATTGTTATTGCATCACCAACCAGTTATGTGGTGTTGTTCTTCCAGATTCGATGGCGAGACTGTAGCTTTGGGGCTGTTTAGCACCGGCCCTGGTTTCTACATATCAACTTTGGGATATCCAATCCTCATTGATCTCCACATTATTTTGGGTACAGACTATGCCAGTACCCAGATGCTCCATGTATGGAATATTTACCTACATGTGGGTCATGTTTAGGGCAAATGTTGGTAAGTATTCCATACATGGAGCATATGGGGTACACATTGGTTGGAAAAAACCATGTGACCTCAACATTTTTTGATTTATACTCTCTGGTAATTTGCTAAGTCCCAAACTTGGCAACCTAGCAACATCTCATGTTTTATCTGGTAAATCATCACACATCATCTATGTCCGCCATATATCTATATATATATATCTAATCTATCTATCTATCTATCTATCTATCCATCTATCTATCTACCTATCTATCTATCTATCTAATCTAATCTAATCTAATCTAATCTTAATCTAATCTAATCTTATCTTATCTTATCTTATCTTATCCTATCTATCTATCTATCTATCTATCGATCTATCTATCTATCTATCTATCTATCTATCTATCTATCTATCTATCTATCTATCTATCTATCTATCTATCTATCTATCTATCTATTCTATCTATCTATCTATCTATCTATCTATCTATCTAATCTATCTAATCTTTCTAATCTTTCTAATCTAATCTAATCTAATCTACTCTACTCTACTCTACTCTAATCTATCTAGCTATAGCAAACTGTAAAATGATTCCCTTGGGGCTACATCCATCCCTTGGGGCTTGCCCAATTGGGCTCCTCGAGTCGAGGTGTCCACCTTCTCTACGACATGTACTCCTACGGCGATTGGGGCCAGTCCCTGGGACAATCCCCTGGGAACATCCATGGGAAATGGAGCTTTAAATGGATGTAGCTTTCGCCTGGGAAAATCATCTTAACAAATGAGAAAACCATGGGATTATGACCGGATTTTTTTATATAGACTCCATTGATGAAAAAATCCGGAGATGTTTGCTTGTTTTCATTGAGGATTCGAGTATTTCAAGTGCAAAACATAATTGATGTGAGGAGTATTGTGCTCAAACGAAAAGCGCCTGCTGAATCATGGTGAATACAAATGGGAAAACATGTTGATGGCCTGCAAGAATGAACCCTCCCAAATTTAATCATACATTGCATGATCTAACAGTTTATATGTGGATGACGTTGATTTTGCCTCCAACTAGCATAGATACCCCACAATTTGTAAAGTATATCCCGGAGAAACCGTAGATGTTCTGTATCAATCCGTTACACATTGGATGCAAAGGGTTTCTTTTATTGTCTATATGGTTATGGGTCAATACCCTGGTACCCTAGGTACCCCAAAATAGCTGGCTAATGAATGGTTATTCCCCAAAATATGGTAATAATAGGTTTTGATCCATCCCTATATGCATGTCACTTTACTGTGTTCGTTTTCAATCTATCCCATATGCTCTATGGTGCTGGCATATTACCCCAAAAAATGATCCTTCATGTTGATAAATATTCCAGCACCATTTAGCATACAAGGTGCCCCCCGTTATAAACTGGTTTATACATGTTTATAACCTCCACTGGCTACAGTTGTAACCCTAGTTAACCAAATTAGAAGTCAACTTAGCTATCTAGGGGGCCACAAGGCCTGCTCCACGCATGTAGGGAAACAATGACCCCATGTGTTCCATTCTACTTTCCAGTATAACATGGATATAGGTGCAAATTTCGTACCCCAAGAATTAGATAGTTATAGGAAAATAGACAAGTCAAAATGTGGTCCCTTAGCTCATGCCAAATCCCTGAACATATTCCATGACTTTCCCGAACTCAGGAAGAAGTGCACCCCCTTAGTGGCGGACAAGTGCCTGGGACGACGAAAGGTTGACAGGTTTAATCATCAATGTTGCAAGGTGGTTAAGCACATCAAAAAGGGGAATTCACCAGCAAACATGGTGAGTTATAGTTAGTTATAGTTGATTTATGTCAGCTAAGTTGGTTTAGGGAAAGCCCCTTTTGGGATTTCAGCAAGGACTTGTCATGGATTTGGGTCCTGTCTGAAAATGGGGGTTACCCCCAAAAATTGGCCATGTTGATATGGAAAATTACAATAAACCCATAGATTTCAGACACACCCAGGTGTTTAATGGATTTAATCAGCAAGGTGACATGCGGATATTGGCGGGGTGACATTTATATGTCTAGCACCATCAACAACAGGGACTTGACGGAAGATGGTGCCCCAGTTTGTTCCGGTTCTTGATAAATAGAGTAAGTACAGATACTGATTGGTGGTTTGGAACATTTTTTATTTTTCCATATATTGGGAATGTCATCATCCCAACTGACGAGCTCCATCATTTTTCAGAGGGGTGGCGAAAAAACCACCAACCAGCCATAACCAAGTTCTAAGTGGACTTAGCTCCGGGGGACCACCTTGTGGGATAAATCCCTGGACGGGGATAAATCTCCGCCTAGGATGGTAAGTCGAGTGCCCCGGAGCTACGCATCGTACCTTCGATCCGTTAGAGCGGTGGCTTGTGGACAATTCTGCAGTGACTGTTGGGCCCGCGCCAATGGCGTGCCAGTTAGTAGCACCATTGGCAACACGTGGTGGCCCGGTTTATGATACCCTCCGGTAATTTGTTACATAGCTATTGAACATGGCCATAGAAATAGTTGGTTTACCATGGTTTACCCGTTCAAAATGACGATTTTCAATCGCGCAGCTATGTTAGTTTACCAGAGGGTATCTTGTTTGAAGATCAATGCACTGTTCCATCACTGATAGGCGATGACCAGCGCAAGACATCAGATGAACTCCTCGACTTGGGGTTGTCTCAGGGGGAACATAGCTTGCATTTTTTATGTTCATTGTGTAGCAGTTTGAACCATAGCTTTTAGCGGATGATGTTTTGAATTTAGTCCCAGTATCCTTCTTGGTGCTTATATCACCATGAAACCAGACATAAATATTGGATGATATTGGCCCCATTGTGATCCCTTCATATTCCACTCTATTCCCATGTTAAAACCTCAATAAGTTTGATGGTGCGAGATCCCTACCAAAAAGTGTGTGCTTTTTTTTGCGGAATGAACGGACATGAACAGAAACTACTCGGGCGAAAACGGCAGGGGTTTGGTCAGTTGTTCAAGTTGTTCGGGTTCGGGACGAACAATCTCGGATCATAGATTGGTGTCGATGATCAAATATGGGGGTTTCCTAAAATGGGGATGCCCCAATAGCTGGTTGGTTTACAATGGAAAATCCATGAAAATCCCATCTATAAATGGATGATGACTAGGGGTATCCCTATTTCAGGAAACCTCCATATGTATTCTTTGGGCTCTCAAGCGTTGTTTCTTTCCCGGCCTCCGGCGCGTTTTTGTTGCCTCAGGTACCACCCTCGCAAAGATCTTGCGGGCTGGATCCGATGCTCGAGACCCTAGCTGGGGGGTTCTCCAGCTTTGCAAGAGTAATGTGAGTATATTAGAGAGATACATACTTGGTGGCTCATCCCACGGCTCGTAAGTAGGTGAAAAAACCCTGGTGATTTCACTGGGTTAAGTAGGGGCAAGGTTCACTAACAACTGGGGTTATAATCCACTTACTAACTGGGATGAGCCACCAAGTACAGCGATATTATTGATATGAATTCTATACGTCGTATGTATATATATATATATACTCTTATACATATGGGTGTGGCGCGTTTTCCGGGCCCCAGGAATATCACACAAAACGAATAATATATAGTCATGTACACATATATGCACACAATTCAAAACATAAAAACCAATCAAGAGTTTTCATTTAAGACGGTCATTACCAAGTTTATTGGTAATTACCTTTGATGTTATTAGCAAACATATAGCAAAAATGATGAACAGCCTCAATAATCCTCAATAAATGTATTGCTGTGAATTTGAACTTACATATTATATATATATGTGTGTGTGGAACATCTGAAGAGATGTAAAACTTCTACTGCGTTTCTTCCTTCTTGTTTAGGTTTTGCTGGTTCACTTCATTTCGGTACAATTTGTCACACATTGTCCAGTTTTCATTTCTACAGCAGGGGGGGCAGAGGGGACTTGCAAAGCTCTGCCCAACGAAGCTCTTTGCAAGCACCCCAGGAAGCACGGACTGATCATCCGTGTGTACCTGCCAGGTTGTGATCACCTGTTGTTCAGGGTCTGCTTCCAATTTGATTTCGATACTGTCATGGCACCCGGCCAAGCCTAGAACCGGCACAACGATTCTTTTCATTTCCTTAAGGTACTGTTGTCGCAATCTGCCAAGGTGGGAACGATTTGGCTTTATTCAAACTCATTTCATCTAGCAATGGACATGGCGATGATACCTTTTCGAATTTTCTCGGGTCTTTTCACCGACCCGTTCCTGTCAGGTGTAATTCGAGTGTTTTTGCATGTAAGATGCATTCCACATCAGAATTCGCAAAGATTGTTCTGAGCAAGTGTGTGCGTGGGCATGTATATATATACACATACACTGCAAGAGACATTGGCGGCATTACTATGAAACAAACAATGCAAAAACAAAAACGTGCATGCACATAGTCAAGGATATTCCAGATTAATATATAGACTGCATTATATCTTCATAGATCTTCATATTGACAGGAACTGATTTATTTGTGAACTTTGTGAACTCATTTATTTCTTGGGCCGGATATATGTAGAGAGCGGGTAGTGAGGGGGGTAGGTTTTTGAAAGTTGTGATTTTGCAATGTTTTGGCCTTTGCAGAGAACATGTCATTGAAATGACTAGAATGTGCAGTCACTGATTGATATGAAGAGGCACTGATTGATGTGAAGAGAGCAACATATATATATACATATGTATGTATATAGAGAGAGAGATATATATATATAAGCTAGTACAAACTCGGCTCTTTTACTGATAGTTGCGTTGATTTTTTGATTGGTATTGTGGATGAGATCTATTGGCATTCCAACAGGGAGCGCCAATGACACAGATTTGAATAGATCTTAAGGTGTCATGCATGCAAAAAGATACAGTAAGTAGATCTTAAAACCTCCCAAGGTTCTACAATGTAAATTAGGTTGCCACAAATAGTTTAAATGACAATTTTCTTAATACAACATATAAAGAAAAATAGAGTTAACATTCACCTTTCAAAGAACTGAAATGAGATAAAAAAAAAGATAAGTTTACTACAAATATTTCATGGAACTCTTGAAGTAGAATTAAGGTAGATGATTTCCACAAACTCTGAAGAAAAACATGACATCAAGGGATGTGACTTTAAGGTATAAAGTTTTTTTACATATAAATTTCAGTAAAAATTGCCAGGGAATCTTGTATGTCTCGCCTGATTTTTCCTGTTTTTTTTTGCTTGACAATGAGGTTGAAGCAGGAATTACAAATAAACCATAGCTTTCCAAAAAGTCAAAGATGACTTTCAGTTTATATAGTTGCCACGGTCAATATTTGGTATATAGCGCCAAGTCATCAATTATGGAAGAGTGTATTATCGTTATTCAGGTTTTGGTATATAAGCACATGTTTTCGTTTTTTGAATAGTGTATTATCGTTTTCCAAGCCCCGGTTCAATTTCAAAAAAATAAAGATGTCTCGAATACTATTCTCCATCAACCAATTTGTTTGGCTGTAGTTCATATGTTTTTTGTTCACTTTCATTCATTTCATTTATCATTTATATAAACTCCCCTAAATCAAAGTATATGTTTTGGGAAATATTACATTCCCAGCGGAATCAAACCTCTTGAAAAAGGCAACCATTTTTCAAAAGGATTGCTGCAACACTTCAAGGAACAATCCGGATTGTAATGAAGCAATTCTTTCAAACAAAGGTATTTATATATATATATACGTATAATTATATATATACATTTCCCAAAACAGAATTGTATTTCATGTCAAGCAATCATGCATTTCCCAATAATTGAAGCAAGCATTTTGAAAAAGGCATGTATTTTCAAACGATCCAACAAGAATGTTGCAACACTTCAAGGAGTATTGTGTTTTGTAACAAAAACAGTTCTTTCCCAAAAAAAAATCAAAGATTAATGTAGTTTCCAATTGAAAAAGGCATCTTGAAAAAGGCATGTGTTTCTCAAAAAACGCGGCAAGACTTCAAGGGATATTATGATTTGTAATGACACATATTTCTCAAAAGGAATGCTGCGTGTCCGGAAAGGGCGAGTCCGCCATGTTTTCCGAGGGAAAGAAGGCAGATTTTGACCGGAAAAGCTAGCGAAATGACTTGGATGATACGTGTACGAAAATAGGGGAAAACAAAAAAACAAACAAACCAAAAAAAAACAAAAAAAACAATGTCCTGGAAACTAGTTTGGATATGATTGTTTTTTTGGTTTGCGTGTGTTTTTTTGGTTTGTTTGGTTTCTTTGTCTGTGTGCTGATTTATGATGTGGTTATAATCTTTGGGTCTTATTTGAAGCAAACTGTTTATAAACAAACATGTGTTTATAAACATGTTGGGTTGATGAGTGGATGATCTGAGAGAAGAGGAATGATCAATTTGAGAGCGGATGCAGATGTTTCAACATCAAACATGTTATTGTTACCAATTAAGATAGCCACGATAGAATCTATGATCATGTCCAGGTTCGATGCGCTTTCCAGAACACCCAATATAGATTTTAGGGGTAAAAAAAATGATAATTTGCCCCAGCCCGGAAAACGCACCGAACCCATATATATATATATATATATATGTACAACATATATTTGTATTTTGTGTATCATATGTTATGTAATATATGTGTATATATGTTTATATATTTAATTACAGTATATATAAAAATGAATTTATTTGCCCTGATTGGTGGTTTCACACATGTGGTTATATTTTCCACCCTACTCGGCAGTCTTTTCTCTACACTCACTGTCATGCAACAGCGGTAGATAATATCCATGCAGAAACCTGATTCATGCTTTGTCGATGCATAGTTTCCAGCTCTCCGCATGCAAAAAGAACATTCAAAACCATATCTATTGAGGAAGATGGCGACCACCGCCACAAACGCCGGTGGATGCTCTAAACTTTTGAAACGAATGGAATCATTGGCAACATAGGGATTTCAATAGCAAAGATTGATATACATATATATATATATACACAGTATAATGACCCCAAAAATGACTGAAAAGTAAGATTCCATAAGATTCCACTAAAGCAGTGGGTAAATTACTGTTCTATATTTTTTGGGTGATAATGACCATGTATGCAAGTAATGTAATGTAGTGTAATGAAATGTAATGTAATGTATGTATACATTTACACACATTCATTTACATACACATTTTATGTACAGCGAAAGTTGGAACTTCACATCATTTTTTACAGAATTCAGCAAGCAAAACCAGCAGTAACATAGGCATAGACTTTCCCAAGTAATTGCATCCAAATCTAAACCACTTTAGAGACTGTTACATTCACATACCACAATGCACCACTTCAATGGAACATGAACATCCCAGTAGCATAGACTTTCCCAAGTAATTGCATTCACAACAGTTGACGTAATTTACATACACACATCGAGTTCTCGGATGTTCATGTTCCACCATCCAAAAAAAAAATCTGACCATAGGGCGCACGCCAACTTTGAGGTCGGAAGGAAGCAAACTCTGGCAAGGTCTTGACAAATCAAGAGGCAACATGGGAATGGCTACCCCGAAGGGGGTAGCAGGTCACACATACACACACAATTTCCCTGTGAAATTGGTCATTTCTACAAGAAGGGGGTGGTATATTTTTTATATACAATGTGTATTTATGTATAAATTTTATGCACATAAATATTTGGGGTTTATGGTAGGCATATCCATGGTTGCATGGGGTTATGAACAACCATCAATCATAACTTTGGGTTGGGCCTTCCGAGGTAGCGCACGATTCATAAAATGTGGGAGTCCAGGCCTTGTTGATGTCTCGTTCGGGCTGGCTGAAGAGCCGGTCATGACGATGATCTTTGATGATCTTTGGAGACCTTGAACGATGGTGTGAATGATCCTCAAAAGGGGATGGATTTTTAGACGTCGAACAAAAACCCTTGGTAGAGCATTTTCTCCTAGGGAAACCATTGGTTTCCACATTTATGTTAGTTTACCCTAGGGTACCTATGGTAACTACCAACTGATGTTGCCCATTCGGAACCATTTTTCTTGACGCGGACCTCGGTACCGTTGACCTATGATGGGACCTCCCCATGAGCTTCGAAGTGACCAGGTGACCGAGGCTTTGAGGGAGTCCAAACTTCGAAGTAGCAAGGCGTGGTGGGGAAGGGGAAGTTTGAAATTCCAGGCATACCCTGGGAAATACCTGGATAATATTCCTTTAATGAGTTACTGTTGTACGTTATGTAATATTTATCAAACATATTTTACGATTGATTAATGAATTCATTGGTTAATGAATTGTTGCTATTTTACCCATAAACATTTTTTATCGTTGCTATTGATAGCAATTGTATGATCCTTTCCCTGATATGAACATATTTCCCAAGCGAAAACAACGGTTTAGTATATGTATATATATATATACATAAAATATTATATATAAATAAATATATGTATTATATATATATACATTGGATCTATTCATTTTTTGGGGGTAGTTCTTTTTAAGGGAATGCGATTGTTCTAGGTCATGACTATGTGTTGGTTGCTCCCAACACCCCAGATACAATGATTGGCATGTTCCCAATAGGAAATCCACCAAGTGGGAAATCCACTGTTCCACTGTTTTAGTTCGATGTTTTTCCCAGCTAGAAACTTGCATTGAAATTTGTTGCTTTTCCGGCTAGCCACTGGCAACGGTTGATACCACCAGAGGCTGAGCATCATTAGACCTCATTGAATCCCATAAAATCTTCAGCAAATCCTCAATAAATCCCCATGAAATTCCCATCAAGACCCCACCAAATCCCCATTAATCCCTACTAGATCCCGCCTAAGTACCATGAAATTCCCATCAAAACCCCATGAAAAATCCCATTCAATCCCCAAATCCCATTGAATTCCCGTAAAAAACGCATCTTCATCTCCCCGTTGGACCCAAAAAAAGAACAACGAACATGGCCTGACCGTGCCCCGGAGCAAGGCTCGCTCCGAACATCGCAAAGTTCCCTTGGCAAGGAAAGTATCCCAGATGCGACCCATGGTGCTGGAATATTTACCTACATTAAAACTGGGTCATTTTTAGGGCAAATGTTGGTAAATATTCCAGCACCATGGAGCATCTGGGTATGGTATGTTCCCCCCAAACATGAAACCTCTGGTTATGACTAACAGCTCGCCATGGAAAATCAACACCATTTTTAAGAACGGTAAACCATCTATTTCTATGGGCCATCTATACCATGGCAAAGTTAGTCATAACCAGAGGGTAGTGTTTGATAGTTTCTGCCAGTTTTTTGTTTGATCGGGATGTGTTCCCCAGCAGATCTTAACTGTCCAAGGACATTGTGGATTTCCCCAGCAAAACATGGGAAGACCTCCCCATTGGGAGTACACTATAGCCAACCAATCTGACCTGCGGGTGCCCGTGTGCAGGACCTTGGTGAATAGGAAATGATCCATTTATCCTCCAGCAATTCACCCTTGCTAGCTATGGTTAAAATGGATGAAAATGGTCCATGTATAGATCTCTCACGATATTTATAGATGATCAATAGATGATCCGCCTTTTTCAAAAATGGTGATTTTTTTGGTTCCCCCTGACAACTTCCTGGCATGTACTTGCCAAGATTTATGTTTCGAAGTTGGACGCGGCTGCAGAAGGTGAAACACCAAACGCCTCACCAGATTTGATGTGAGTCTTGATTTGCCCAGAATTCGAATCTAAACCAGCAAAGCCAAGATAGAAAAGTAACATCGAGTGGCTAAAAATTACTTTTCTATATGTCTTTTTGGGGATTCCGAAAAAAATAACATCGAGGTTGATGATTTCGCCGAAGCGGTCGAGGCGTTCTTCTTGTGCTTGGGGATTCATAGGGGCCTCCATTGCCTCAACATGTTGGTGGATCTGTCTGAAAGTGGGGATTGTAAAACATGTTTTTAAGAGGTAATAGAAGTCCTATACAGTACATGTGCAGGGTTAGACACATGTCAATATTACGATATGTACAGATTGCAGCTGATTGGAATGAATCAAATGGAACAATGCAGCATGGGTGTGTCTCAAAGTAGGGTACCCTAAAAGTAGACCTCTTTTCTTGTAAACATTCAGTTTTGGGGGATACACTCCATTTTCAGACATATCAATTACTGTACAATCATACTGAGACCAAACTGGGTGCTCATACAGGTTTCCTACTATAAAATGAACTCGGGTGCTAAGATTTATTTCAACCTCTGCAACATCCACGGTAGCTCCCAACAAAGTGAATCTATCATAATCTATCTATCTACCTATCTATTTATTTATTTGCCTATCTATTTGCCTGTCTGCCTGTCTGCCTGGCTGGCTGTCCGTCGGTCTGTCTGTCTGTCTGTCGGTCTGTCTGTCCGTCTGTATATCTATATATATATATATGATTTTCATTTTTATTTAATTATAATAACAATAACAATATATCTATATCTATCTATCTATATATATATATACACATACGAGCAGTGTTTAGATCATTGTTGGTATATAAATGGTTTTAGTGGCTTATTCTACCCTATTGGAGATTATCTATCAACCAAGCAGCATAAAGGATTGAAAGAGGGGTTTACAACTATATTTCAACAAGGAATGCAAGTAACCCCTCGTTTCGATGGTGGACCGTCCATTTTGACGCTCAAAACGTTCAAAACAAGACTCATTTGGGTTGCAGGAACACATATACACATCTGGCTTCTGGTTGGGGTTTTGAACGCTAATCAATGCTAATCATATGTGGACACACCTCCAAACCCATGAATATGTGCAAAACATGTTCTTAATTATCTCTTTGGCTGCTGTTTACATCTGTGGAACCATGAGAACATTTTGGTCGGCCCCGCTTTGTTGAGTTATCTGTCATTTATTTTGGGAGACTTGTCTACGTACAATTTCGGCGAAAAAAAAAACGCAGTTGGTAAATTTTATCTCCAACAGATATTTGTTCAAGTGATATTCAAAATCCCCAATAAGGGCCCCAATAGTTGGGCCATTTGCCCAATTTTCCCACGATTTAGTTCGATGATTTTCCCAGCTATATACCTCCATTTGGTTCGGGAATGTCCATTTAGTTCGGGGATTTACCCGCTAGCAGCTACTGTAGCCATGTTTGATTGGCAAATAATTGGTAGTTATATCCCATTATCTTACTAGGTTATATTCCTATTCCCATTGTATTTCTATTGATGATTTAGAACTCCAATAACTATGATACATGTTACATATATCTGGGTAAATTATAACGACCTCACTGTTCTCCCTCATGGTTAGTAAGGGGAATCATCCCCAACATAGCCCAACATCTCACGTTAGTCTTAGTGAATTGTGGTAATTTACCCAGATATATCTATACTGATTGGTGGTGTAGAACATTTGGATTATTTTTCCATTCAGTTGGGAATGTCATCATCCCAACTGACGAACTCATATTTTTTAGAGGGGTAGGTCAACCACCAACCAGATATGTTAATAGATGTTAATAGTGGATTAACATGTTCAATCCACTATTCTCCCACTATTGCGGTAATCCATATTAATCCACTATTATCCACTATCACCAGTTGATATCATCCACTATTATCCACTACAATCCATATTAATCCACTATTATCCACATTATTATAGTTAACATAGTTGATAAACCACTACATATTAACATAGTGGATATATAGTGGATAGATAACTATTATCCCAATCACTATTATCCATTAACATAGTTGATATATCATCTGGTTACTTAACATAGCCATGGAAAATCTCAATTTTTAATAGGTAAACCATCTATAAATAGACCATTTTCCATGGCTATGTTAAATAATCAGAGGGTATCTATAGTTCATTGGGGCTATAAACCAACGTTCACCTCACTGCACCTCGAAGCATTCACCGCAGGTGACCTCCAATGGCCTTGGAACGAGCTTGACGTCTACTAGGCCCGTGACGTCACTTGGCGGCGGTGGCCTTCCCGGGTTCAGCGATAGAAGGTGGTGACATGCCCAGTGATGTGAAGGTTGGTTTATAGACAGAACCAGATTATAGTAGATTATTGTGATTATAGCAATAAACTAATGGGATAGCTAAACATCTTTATGTGATAAAATCTTATAAACCCCATTAGCTCTCCCAGATGTGACCCATGGTGCTGGAATATTGAGCTAGAAAACTGGGTCAGTTTGGACAAGGGCAAATGTTGGTAAATATTCCAGCACCATGGAGCATATGGGAGAAATATCTACCATAAACCATAGTTGACCTAGTTATAAATCAACTTAGCTAAGATAGCTAAGTCTGGGGCACCACTGTGTACCCTTTGGTGTCATCAAACATGGCAATCAGAGAATATTCTACAAAAAGAGGTGTTTAGTGAGAAAATGATCAAACTGGGATACACAACTCGGGTAATGGGGATCTACTGAACTCTGAGGTTTGGAGCTGTCAACAAGGGACCACCGGCCATCTGTGAAAGGAATGAGAAAATGGTCCCTACGTTTTTTTAGAGGTGTGAGTCCCCTTATTTCCTTGTGACTATTAGTATCTATGAGTCCCAATTGAATATATGATAATATATGCCCATGATGATACCATCATATTTTGGTTCATGAAACCCCGCATGTTTGATGGTCATGATTCTTCCCTATTAAAACTATTAAAACTATATACTAAAACTGTTTGGTGGTTTGGAACATTTGGATTATTTTTGCATTCAGTTGGGAATGTCATCATCCCAACTGACTTTAACTCCATGATTTTTCAGAGGGGTATGTACACCACCAACCAGATGATAATCTTCCATTATGGCAATCCCCATGAACCAACCAGTACCATAAAATATAAGACTACTACATTTGGATTGGTTCATGGCAACCCAGTCAAAAAGCCAAATCTGATAGTCTTGATACTTATAAGATCTTATAAGCCAAATCATGTCAAAAAGCCAATATCATAACCAACCAGTATAAGACTATCATGAGATTTGGCGCAGTTTGACAGGTTTTTGATCTGGATTTGGACTGGTCTCATCCCAAGGATTGGTGTCCTCTTGATGGGCGCCAGCACCGTGGCTCTCTTCCTTCTCCTCCGGTCGCATCTCTTCTGCAAGGTGCCGGGGATTTCTTGGGATTCAACCTGATTTTCATGCCCATGAAGACCTGCCAAAATGATGTTAAACATGACACAAAAATTGAAGATTCATGTATATCAAGACCAAACAAATATGGGATATTCATGGTGGTTTAACATAGATATTGTCTTGAATGTCAATGGGATATGCATGGGATATGGATGGATATGGTTTAACCAACACAACTTTGGTTGTTTTACAGTAGGTTCATGGAATTTTAACCTGCGATTTTCCGTAGTTTTGGAGGATGTCTCCCAACAAAAATGTTTGTTTTATAGTATATTAACTCCCAAAACAATAGAAAAAACATGCATCGCTATCTATGGGTCGGATTTCCCGAACTTCTATCCTTTTGGGTGGTAACAAAAGTTATGTAATGGGTTTAAACCCCATTGTCCTATTTTTGCAGGATGAACATTCATTTACCAGCTATTTTGGGCGGGGGTTTAGGATGCCAGGATTAACCGACTCGATGGATGCTACTGGATGATGGCTGGTTGACATGTTTCAACCATACAAACGGAATGGTTGGTTGACATGACTCATTTTTGGGAATGTGTTCAAAACCACCAACCAGGCTACTTAGTCTACTTGGTGGCTCATCCCAGGAATCGTAAGTGGGTTATAACCTCAGTTTTTTCAGTGAACCTTGCCCCTAGTTAGCCAAGTGAAATCATCAGGGATTTTTCACCTACTCACTAAGTGGGATGAGCCACCAAGTAGTATTGAAAAGATTTGCTGTGTTGAATGGGAGTTCTATAAAAGGATTGGATCCGCACATGTGAAACCAGTATTTTGTGGCTGCAATCCCCAATATCATGTCGTTGATATGCGGGTTAAACTCCGAGACTCCTAGGTTCAGTGGTTCAATATCCATCTATCTATCTAATTTGTAGTATGATCTAATCCAATCTCTGATTATGCCTTATCTTATTTATCTACGCTGTAGAACAACATCTATCATTTACTCATTTTGTCACCCTATCCATCTATCTTGTCAACCGATCCATATATCCATCATGTTTTCTATATCTAGTGAATCTAATTTGTACATATATATATATATATACACAATAGTATTGTTGTTTTTATGTTATTAATACTATTCTTATTAATATATAATTATATATATAATATTTACACATATGATTGTCTATATTATCTATATATATATATATCTAATTCATTTCTTCATTCCCCAACCATCGGCCCTGACAAACGGCCAGACTTCGGAGCCGCAAGAGACATCCGTGCCTTGGGGAAATTCTTGGGATCAAAAAATGTCAATGGGAGATCTCCAGGATCCGGAGCTGATTGGAGGTACCGATTCCATATATGTTTGGTCTATTTTTTAGGCCTATGTTTTTGGGAATATCCCCCTAAAATAATCTATCTATCTACTTGGTGGTTCATCCCACTTAGAAAGTAGGTGAAAAAAACCTGGTGATTTCACTGGGCTAAGTAGGGGCAAGGTTCACTGAAAAAACTGGGGTTATAATCCACGTACTAACTGGGAGGAGGTTTCCTGAAATGGGGGTGCCCCAAAATCATCCATTTTAGTAGCATTTTCCATTGTAAACCATCCATTTTGGGGTACCCCCATTTATGGAAACCCCTATATGGTGGATTGAACTTGAGTTTGTGACCCCAAAAGAGATGCAGAGAAGGTTTGATATGATCACTGTTTAACGAGGATGAAAATGAACTTCTATCTTTTTTGTGGTTGCAAACGCACAGTTATCACTTGTGACTAACAAAAAATGGAAATAACAAGGAAATTATATAGGTAAGCCCCCCCACCAGTTATGTTTGTTGATGTTTATCGAATTATTGGTTTATAGACCCAAGTGTAGATCAAATTGGCACACAACCACAACCAGCGAAGCAAATGGAATCTAGATGGGCTTAAGCAGTAACTCACAGGATCATAAGGGTAAGTCTAGTTGTGGATGTGGCTATTTAGCCAATTTTTTCAACAAAACTAATGTAGGAATGGTGGATTTCCCTCAAACACGTAGGCATTGATAGGTTCAGTTGGCTTATGTCACGAGGCGACCATTAGAGCTGCACCAAACCTTGCAGCCACAAAAGGGTCAACCCCTAGAGCTCGGAAATGGCCATCATGGCCCACCAACCAGTGATGATTTCGCCCTTGTTTCAACGCTGAGTTTCCAGTTCCGAAACGTTGAAAAACACGGCCAAAGATCAACAAACCATTGGGCGCCATGGAAAACCCATGGATTTTGGCGAAAGACGAAATCTTAAGTCATCTACAAACCGGCCATGGCAACCATGGCAAATAATAGGGGGTGTCAACCACCTGCGTTGACCCCATTTTGGTTGTCTTGATTTGACCCCCTTTGTTTGTTGGCACCTTAAAACCCATGTCATAACCATTTTATAGCCTTCTATTAGCATATTATAACATGTTATCTAGTAATTCATAATCATTTTGCAATGTTACAAAGTGGGGCCCCCAAGATAGCTAAGTTGGTTTATAACTACAATAACTAGGGTTTATGGTAGTTATAACTATAGTTCGATTGGGTTATAAACCAACTTATAACTAGGGGGCCCCACATTGTATAACCATTTATAGGTTGAGTTGGCTCCGAACCGGCCCTGAAAACGCCCTGCTTTGGCACGAGGTGCCGTTGCCCAACGGCGACGCGCCCGACTTCAATGAAGTGCCCCTGACGTATCGCAGTGATGCTGAAAGGATTCCCCTGGTCTGACGTCGGAAAGTCGGAAGACGGTGGTTAGAGTGAAATTTGTTTCTCGAGTCACCAGAAAATACCAGAAATATGGGAGCCCAAAATAGCGAGTTCAAAATCATGTGTGTAGCTTCACCACGTGGTGGATGACACCATCTGCACACAGGTGCCGCAGGGTCGTTCCATCACTTAAAGTGATGTGATCCCTGCGAACTCGACTGTCCCCTTGGCTGCTAGGTTTCAAGATATTCTTTGGATCTAGCTTACAGCTATGGCCTTTGACAGTTGCAAATGGGATCAAATAATTCCTGCAACTTAGTTTATGTATCACTGTATCACTTAAATCAGGTTATAAGCCAGTTATAACTGTTGAGGGTTATTAATACTATGACTATAGCTGTAACTGTAAGACCTGCAAGTTATAGATAGAAGTTGAAGGTGATAACATAATCTAGTCAACTAGTCACACAGACCCCATGATTTCTCAGAATCATCATGGGGCGTCCACCCAAGTTTGAAGAACTCATACACATATGATCAAATACGATCAACACTTAGAAGTAGATTGTATCGTTTATTCATAAACATCAAATGGCTTTGGAGCAGGGAAAATGCAAGTGAGAAGGAAACAGCCTCGTTGAAACTTGGGTACCCATGGATTCCATCGAAAAAATGCCGGCCGAGTGGCGAGTCATAGCGACATCTTTTCGCTGAGGACACTGTCCTGGCCGACGGCGCAAGCGAGGGTTTGTGGTTTCAATATCCAAAGTCCAAAGCAAGATGGAAAAGGAACGTGTTGTTGGTTACCTGGGTTTCTGTGCTTTGCTTTGGGAAATTTTCAGTTAACGTATTATCATTAGTTTGGTAAAGTCAGTAATAAACCTACCTATTTGGGGATGGTTTGTACAACCCATTTATGATGATTTTGGGGCTGGATGAGTATTGTGTTTACCGCTTACCACAGTAATTTGGCGAAGCCGATGATAATCCATAGCTCACTCTTGAGGGTGTACTCTCTGGTAGTTTGTCACATAGCTTAGAGATTCTTATCTAATTATATATAGAGAATCACCTGGCAATAGGCAAGATATCTTATGAATCCCAAGTGCTCCATGTGTTGGTAAATATTCCAGCACCATGGTTCGCATATGAGAAGGTGACACGTGTGACACGTGTGACACGTTCCTCCAATGACTTCATGAACCGTGGTTGCGTCTTCCGCCGCATCTTCCGTCGACGAGGAATCGTGGATCAGTTTAGAGCCAGCGACGACCCAAACGCCGCGGCGGAAAAAAAGAGGTGCCGGACCGTGCCGGAAACGATGTACATCCCAGATGTGCATCCCACTTAGTCACTGGTAAACTAACGTAACTATGGAAAATCACCATTTTTAATGGGAAAACTCAGTATAAATGGCCATTTTCAATAGCTATGTTAAATTACCAGAGGGTAGTCACTTAGTGAGTGGTTTCCAATCAAATACAATCAGATACAATCATTATAAGCCATGTAATGCCGTAGATGAGTGGGGAAATTTATAAGCGATTATAACTGGGGGTATCCCCGAAAAAATTGACGTGACGTGGGATCCACCTTAAGCAGGTTGGTATGATCCTAAGTTTGCCCAGGAAATGGCAAGTACTTAAGCTATCTTAAGCTGATGAATCATGAAACTTGCCTTAACGATAGGGGACTTTCGTAAAGACCACAAGTTTGGGCATGGAGCTATAGAGTCCATGTGTAGCAAACAGATAGCTGTTGATTCATATGAAATCCACGATGATACTGAAGTGGGGCTTGGCCAGATCTCGGATGATTGTGTTGTGCATTGCCAAAAGATGCAATCCCTTCCCCTAGTCATATTTATCACGTTTTAGCACCCCTCAGAAACCGCGGTTTCATATCGGAGATAGATATCTGGTTGGTGGTTTGGAACATTGTTTATTTTCCATCATATATGGGATAATCCTTCCCATTGACGAACTCATATTTTTCAATACGGTTAAAACTACCAACCAAATATATTCGGGACCATACAATGGTGTTAAAAAAGAAAGGAGGATGATTCTGAGGACCAGGTTTCTCGTATCACCCAGTAGATCTCTACAATACCATGGGTGCATACCGCGTACTAAAACTTGATCATGAAATCCCTATGTGACATCCCAATGCTATAAAATATGTAACATCCCTATAAGTGCCAGTTCATGACATTTCAGAAAATATGTGTAAATCTGTAACATCCCATTGTCATGTCCCTGAATATCTATAAAATTCTATAAATATGTAACATCCCATCGTCATGTCCCTAAAATCTGTAACATCCCATTGCTGATTGGTGGTTTGGAACATTTGGATGATTTGTCCATTCAGTTGGGAATGTCATCATCCCAACTGACGAACTCATATTTTTCAGAGGGGTAGGTCAACCAACCAGAATACCATGGACATAACCAGTTATAACCAGTTATAACTAGCCATGGCCTTTCCATATCTTTCCATCTTTTCCTATATGATCCTCTGGTAAACATTGGTAAACTATAGTTACTATGGCAGTTATGGATAGTTATTATGGTTCATAAACCAAACAGATTGTCATGATGAGTAAACCATTCCATCCAGTGCCCAGTCGTTGCCCAAGGACTCAAAAGGCAGCTCCCTCCCGCACTGCCGATGAGCCTCGGATAAGTTGATAAACAGAAGTCCAACAACTATGGTTGATTAGGGGGATATAACTATAGTTGGGATTATAACTGTAACAAACATAGGATATAATGTATATGTATATATATATAACATTATATGTATATGACTATATATAGTTTATGATACTTGGAAATATAGTTATATGATTGGGTTTATACACCAAAGCTTATCTAAAATATCGTTGGGGCCCACATTGTCATATAACAAGTGGATGATGTGATTAGAGGGATGGAACTGGGAGGACACCACCCTGCATGGCTGTTGAAAATGGGATACCCTTCGGTCGTCAAACATGGCGTGCTGGAAAATGTTCGATTTCTGGATGAATTTCCCAGCTAGAAACCTCCATGTGGAAGGGGTTTTTGAGCACGCCACCTTTGACTACCGGGATACCCACCAAATCGCAATACCCTTTTAGTTTTTATACCCTTAACTTTTAGTTTTTATACCCTTAACTTTTAGTTTTTATACCCTTAACTTTTAGTTTTTATACCCTTAACTTTTAGTTTTTATACCCTTAACTTTTAGTTTTTATACCCTTAACTTTTAGTTTTTATACCCTTAACTTTTTGTTTTTATACCCTAAGCTTTAGTTTTTATACCCTTACCTTTTAGTTTTTATACCCTTAACTTTTAGTTTTTTATACCCTTAACTTTTAGTTTTTTATACCCTTGACTTTTACTTTGTATACCCTTAACTTTTCACTTCTTAAACCCTTAACTTTTCACTTCTTAAACCCTTAGCTTTTACTTTTTTACCCTTAACTTTTACTTTGTATACCCTTAACTTTTACTTATTTATACCCTTAACTTTTACTGATTTATACCCTTGACTTTTACTTTGTATACCCTTAACTTTTCACTTTTTAAACCCTTAACTTTTCACTTCTTAAACCCTTAACTTTTACTTTTTTACCCTTAACTTTTACTTTTTATACCCTTAACTTTTGCTTTTTATACCCTTAACTTTTAGTTTTTTTATACCCTTAACTTTTAGTTTTTATACCCTTAACTTTTAGTTTTTATACCCTTAACTTTTACTTTGTATACCCTTAACTTTTTCTTTGTGTTGCCGTGTCCTTAAGTCTTTATTCGTGCTACCTTGACTTTTTGCGTTGTGTTTCCTTAAGTTTTCACTATGTGCTTCCCTAACTTTTACTTTGTGTTTCCGTTACTTTTTCATTTGTGTTTCCGTCGCTTTTCATTTGTGCTTCCGTAGGTTTTCACTTGTTCCCTTCACGTGTTACTTTGTGTTTCATCAACTTGTCACTTTGTGTTACCTTAATTTGTCACTTTGTATTGACTTAACTATTTACTTTGTGTTACGTAACTATTCACTTTGTGTTACCTTTGCTTTTCACTTTGTGTTTCCTTACTTTCTCACTTTGTGTTGCCTTAACTGTCTATTTTGTGTCACCTTAACTTTTCGTTTTGTGTCACCTTGACTTTTCATGTGTGTCGCCTCTTGTTTCATTTGTGCCACCTTAGTGTTGTTCCGTTTTTGCTTTGTTTTTTTCATTGATTTAAACTGTCCATTATTTGGTGCATGTTTGCCCATGCAATAGCTATCTCAGATATCTCCATTTGCGTGTCACCGCCATGCCTCCACTCACTAGATGTTTCCTTTTCTTGGCCATTGCATGGTTTAACTGGAATAGACCTTGGAACTAACATGGATGAGATCAGAGAACAACAGTTTCGCTCTGGGTCCGTCGGTCAAGATGTTTTTCATTGCAAACTATGTGTTTTGAATTTGCCCAGAAATATTATCAACAATTTGATGAAACTGGTCATATTTCGGATGTAGATTTGGATGAATCTCTGTGGCATGTTGTCATGGGCAACTTCTGTAACACGCACGGATCAATCAAAATATATGATCATGATTTGTTTCAACCACAAATGTTTTTTGGCAGGTGCGGGCTTGATGTCTTATTCACAGAGCTACTGTGGCATCAAACGAAGGTGTCAAGTTCTGGTTAGAATGAGTGCATGGATATGTGAGATATATACGACAACAAAGTGCATCTACTTATTTCTATTCCCAGCATTCAGGGGCTCCGCGAGACTGTGCAGGGGGCAAAACAATTTTCTTGTGGAATATAACTTCTGCTCGAGCAACCCAAGGGTACTGTTTGCACATGAAACCGTTGTGCAATGGATAGTGGTGATGCTGAGATCGATTTATTGGATTTATTGGAGAACCATCCTTCAGACCCGCAGTCCCAGGTTGTAGTGCCAAATGAATGCTCTCGGGGTTTAGTAGAGCTGCCATTGGCACTTCCATCAACGTTTGATGATCCAGAACATGTTGA